TAATATAAAAATTACCGGGAATGGAAAACCGGAAAAATCAATTTGCATTTAATGGTGAAGCAAAAACAAAGAGAATTTGCATTGCATATTATTGATGAAGTACACCAACATTGGCAAAATTTAGTTAAACAGGAAGATTCATCCGGTGAAATAGAATGGTTAATAAAAATCAACCTTTATATTGTGTTTCAGAAAAAAATAATCGAGATGTTATATTTTTTTTTTTATTATATTATGTTTTTATAGTTCTAACGTAACAGTGGAAGGGAGTCCTTTCAAAATTACTACAGAAGCTGCAGAAGAGATTTTAGAAAAAGCGCCTGAATCAATGGGACCTCAACCCATAGAACCGATAGGTAAATACTGCGATCATAATATAATAGAAAAAAATATTAAGTTTCTTTATTATATTGGAATTGATATTGAAATTATCTCATTTTTTTTATTTCTACTTTTATTTTAAATATGTAATTTATGCTTATAATACTATAATTCACTTTCAGTTGACAAATGTTACTTCATGCATCCTAAATTATAACCGAAATTATAATGGAAACTAAGAGATGTATTTAATTTATGAATATTAAATGAAGATTATCGAATTATATGAAGATTATACATATTATATATTAATTAAAATTCTTGTTCATTAAATTATTGTTACAATTGTTTGATTTCAGTCGATAAATGGCATTACGTACACCTTAAATAAGGACGGATATCTTCATTCAATGATTTCTATCGAAGTCAGTACATATCTATTCCACTCACTCTATTCAACAAGAAATTTTTTATTCATTATTTTCATGTTTTTTCTCGATGTATCATTTTTCACTACATTCAAATAATTATAAAAATAGCAAAAAATTAGCAAAAATTAAACAATTTATATATGTATGTGCTACTGCTTGTTATTAAAATTACATACTTTTTTAAACATTCGAAATGAATTAAATGCGCGAATAATATAGGATATACAAATACAATCCGGCACTTTCTTAGATATGTTTCGCATATGCGTTACCTTTGTTATGATATTACATCCATAGCGTATATTTCGACTATGAAAAAAATATAATCTCATATGGGTTGTGATAGCTATACAGTTCTAAGCAAATGAGTTTCTTAGAAAAATGTTAATTTCTTTGTATTTTTTCCGATAGAATGAAGGCAACAATAAACATATTGGCATGAGTACAAATGTATATGTATTATTTTTAAGAATTATTCCCATTTTTTATATTTAAGAATACTTTTATTTTAGACGCATAATTATATCTTCTTCATGTAAGGATGTTGGAGGATAAAATTTGATTTTTTCCCGCCATTTTTCAAAAATAAGAAAATTGTAATTGAATAAGAAGAGAGGAAATGTTGAGACTATAAATTGATCTCATCATATTTCACTAAGGCTATGTCTGAGCAGAAAATGAAACATTTGTATTCTACTGAAAATGTACTTAGCAACATTTACTGGGAGCTATACATATTCTTCCACATGATATGCATCTACTTTGAACTTACAAAATGGAGTAGCTCATTGGTACAATAAATTCTTCAATTAAGTTTCAAATAAAATAAAAAATAAAATAAATGCTGTAAATCATTACTAGAAAAATCAAATGAATAATTTCTTGATTGAGAATGGAATAAAACATGAGATAAAAAATTATAGAATGTAATAACAATATGTATAATTTCAAACCATGTTATAAAATTCGAAAAAATATAGTTATTTAGTCTATGATCTATGCTTTTTGGTTTTAAATGACTTCCTATTGTACATTTCATTTACATACACTTGACATTGTTGCATTATATTATTATAAGATTGTCTATAAATTATATTCAAATGATTCAAAATGATATATAATATTAATATTGAAATATTAGACAATTTTTTGCTCGTTAAATACATGTGTATACATGTGTATACATTTATATATATATAAAATATACATATATATATACATATACATATTTAATGAACAAAAAATTGTCTAATATTTAAATTGTCTAATATTTCAGTATTAATATTATATATTATTTTGAATATAATTTGAATATAATAGACAAACAATCTTATAATAATATAATGCAACAACGTCAAGTGTATAAATGAATATATATATATATATATATATATATATATATATATAT